GGACTAATTAAAACATTTATTCCATCCATCCATCCATCCATCCATCCATCCATCCACCCATCCATCTGTGCATGATTTAACATACTTACGTTGGTTTGTTACCTATGCTGGAGAGTTTGCTAAGCATTTAAGGATGCAACATAACATATAAATATCACAGCTGTTTTAGTTTTTTTTAATTCTTTTTTTTGTCTATATGCATGCTCTACAGACAGGTTTTTTCAAACTTCAAGTTGTGATATCACGAAAACATTTAATAGATCTTAGTTATCAGGAACACAAATAGAAAAAAATAAAACAAAATATTAGAGTGTAAATAACAAGTATTATGAATAATGAGAGAGGGAGAGAGAGAGAGAGAGAGAGAGAGAGAGAGAATCTACTAGGTTGAAATATCCTATGCTTTCTGTTGTGAAGAATGCTCCAAGAATTTGAAAGACATTAAATGAGCCATCACTGCTTTGTTTTTATGTCTCTCTGCCCATTAGCCTGAAGTCTGTGGGAGAAGGCACCTAGTTTTTTCCAGCCCTTTTTAGACCTGAATCCTCAGGACCTATATTTCCCGATGCAGATCAAATAAGCAAGAAATGTTTGGTGAGGAGATGGTGCGAGGTACAGAAGTAAAGAAGTGGGACACCAGAGGGAGGTAAGATGCAATGTCATGAAGTTGCCCTCTGGAGAGTCATGAGCGACTAACCAAGCACAGCCCCACTGTTATGGGACGATGGGTCGGGGTCCCCCAGACATTGGCACCTCACACCATCAACTGTACCTCAGAAAGGAATGCCACCTACGTGCCAAACTAAAGGGAAGTCTTTTTGATGCTCTGTCCTGTACTGGTGATTATGAAAGGTTGACTACTTGCTTTATAATACCAATTCTATACTGTTTTGAAAAAATTTGAAAAATAGGAAATCATTGTTACTTGCTTGGCCTCTGATATATTGATGTGAAATTTATCCTCTGCACCAATGTATGTCTCTGATGACTGTATATAATTTCTACTTCCTTGTTTATAATTCACATTCATAAATGAAATAAGGCTGCCTCTGAATGAGATACTTGATCTCAGAAAATGCAAAGGGGTTAAAACTGTGGTTACTTTATGACAAGGACGTTTCATTGCCAAGAAAAATGGTAAAAGGATTTACTTTGATTTAGTCCTTGTTTTCAGTCTTTCCATTAGGCTCAACTTTTAGGTGATAGGCTATAAATATGCATTTTTTAAATTTCATCTTTTTCTACATAAAATATTTATTTCTTTGTCCTTTGGACTGGCTCACTAGTTGTGGATGTATGTTTTAATTTAAGATACCATGAGCATAATCTCAAGAAAATACTCTCGAAAATATTCTCATAAATATTCCCAGACCACTGTGTTTTTCCTAGTTACTATTTTAAAAATATTTCTAAACATGGTCCACTTATTTTCACAGTATTCTCCAAAAAAGGCTACAGTAGGGCCTGGGATTTAGCTCAGTGGTTTAGCTGCCTGCTGCGCAAGCGCAAGGACCCGAGTTCAATCCCCAGTACCAAAAAAAAAAAAAAAAAGGGGCTACAGTAATAAACAGTTTTGAAAATGTGAGGGCTTTGATAATCTTTCAGGGGATGAAGGAAGGAAAGAGAAGAAAGAACAGAAACTAAAAAAAAAGGAGTTAGGATGGAAGCAACAAAGGAAACACAGCTACTATCTACCTCTTGCTACAAGATTCGCTCCCCGCTTCTCCAAACCAAGGCCAATAATGAGATTTTACTTTGCAACAGAAATAAGAAACACCACAGAAAAGCGCCAGTCTGCATCAACACAGTTCACTCCTAAACAAGCATTCGGATTAAATTTCAGATTGCTCAAATCTTTCCAAATCATTCTGCAATACTGGATTATAAGTGTAGCTGCTGTGGAAGTGCAGCAGTGACACGTGGTGGGTTCTTCCACTGGGGTGTTAGTCACTTTTCTCTCCTTGCTGAGACAAAATACTGGACACCCAGAGTAAAAAGGGAAGGGGTTTACTTAGCTTACAGTTCAGAGAGATTTCAGTCCATAATCAGCTAGCTAAGGCGGGGATGGCAAACAGGCATCGCAGAGGAGAAACAACATGGTGCACAAGGCAGCAAAGGCAACAAGAGAGTTTTACAACATCTTTCCGCTCCTTTTATCTTTTTTTTTTGGTACTGGGGGCGGGGGGGGGGGATTGAACTCAGGACCTTGCGCTTTCCAGGCTGAAGCGGTACCACTGAGCTACATGCCCGGGAAAGCAGCCCCATCTGAGATGATCACTTTTGTCTTTTTCCTTTTCAGTACCGGGGATTGAATTTAGGACCTCACACTTTCCAGGCAGGCGGCAGAACCACTGAGCTATATCCCTGGCCCTCTGTCCCTTTTATTTTATTCAGGCTACTGGGATTAGGGCGGTGCCAAACTAAGCGCTCACATGTAGTGGATTAGTAACCATTGAAAAAGTTCAATTCGTATGTGGCCCATCTATTGTGAGAGTTAAACTAAATTCTGTAAATTAGGTGCAATGTGTTACCAGTTTCTGTTATTCCCATCTCCCAGTATTTCTGCCATCACCACCACCATGACCAGTATTACCTAGTCCTACAACACACACACACACACACACACACACACACACACACACTTATTTATGGTTTTCTAGCTGCATGTCCATCAGCCACCTTATAAATTCTTTTGTATTTGACTATTCTGTGACATAGCATATTAGTAAACAAACCCCCTTTATCTTGAAATTTTTTCTCTTTTCCATTCCAACACTATACATTCCAGTTTTCCTCTTCCTCTCTTATTAGTTCTTTTTTGTTCTTTTTTTGTTTTTGAACTTTTCATTGTTGCAAGGAGGAGGGACACTCATAGTAATTAAAGTGCTGTGATGAGGCATGCTTCATGTATATTTGTCCTGAATTAATTCAAAACATTTACCTTTTGTGGTCATTTTGACTTTGGGGCAGAGCTAGCAGGCACATGGTGTCAGATTTGGTGAATAAGGTGGAGGAAGACATGTTGCACTATTTTTATTGTGCAGAGATTGCCATAAACATTTCGAATGGATTCAGGGCATCCAAGCAGCCACAAGAAGACTCTCATAAGAAAGGACTTCTGGAACTGCTTCAGAAATGTGCAGGAATGAAGAGGTAAGTGTTCAAAGCCAAGAGAATGTTTTCAGGGAGATTAATGGCAATGTGTATTTTACTATATTTTATTTTAATATTTATTGCATCTTTTACCACACCTCTTACATTGATATTTCAATGTTTTATTCTGTATGACATCTCTTCTTTTAGTCTTAAGATATTTGGGCTCTGATTAACTAGAATGTGTCTGGATTTGGGGAACATAAGAGTTTCTTAAATCCTAGTTGAATGTGTAGTTGACAGAGAAGAATCATCTCCCCAAGGTGAATTTTCGGTATTGCTAGGTGCTTGATACAATCCAATTCCGACTGTTCTCTTGGGAATGCTAATGGATTATCATTATTGTTATTATTATGGGCTCATCTGTCTGTTTCACCTTTCTAAGGAGCACTGTAATTTTCTTTGTAGATTTATTTTTTCCCTTTGGACATTCTTTGGTGATAGTGTAATCCAGAAAGCATGGATCCTAAACTAGGCAATGAGACTCTTCCTCCATGGAATATTCATTTTAAACTGAAGAATAAATCAATGGACAAAGGCTGGTCTTCATCACAGTGGAAGTTATATACTAACTAGTTACATGTTTCAGGCATAAAATCGTTCCTGTGATTTTTGTTTTCTAGTCTTGATGTGGGCCTTGTTTTTATGGATTTCCAAAGTGTTAGTGTATCTGACTGGTCTGTGGGTGGCCAACATGCTTCTGGTAGTGTATAAATGGCTCAGAATAGCATCTCTTACCTGCAAAGATCCAGCCTGATTCAGAATATTATTGTAAATACCCTGTAAGGCTATGAATCCTGAGAAACCTGAGACTTTATGGAGTACAAATAGTTCCATGCTGTTAAAAGTTGAAGCAAATATTTATTTGAGGGGTGTCAGAGTTCAGCATGTTGAAAGACTGTGCAGAAGAGGCAAAGAAGCACAGGAAGTCCAGAGCACGGTCAAGCTAAATCGAGCAGCAGATAGAGGTGAAGGCGAGGTCCATGGTGGTAGAATTTGGGTCTGGGAAGAGTTCAAGTGAGTCAGGGCCAACAGTAAAGGTCTGCGGGTGAACAGGAATCCGGAAATTTGGATGAGAAATGTTTTATGCCATTCCTCCTAAGGCCTGTGTTCTGAGTGGGGCCAGGTTGGCTTTCCCATCTCAGAATTTGGGCAACAGAATTGGACCTTTCTTTCATCCTTGTTTGTCTACATAGATCTTCCCTCATGCCTTTCACTTGCAGGCTTTTTGCTCTAGGACAAGTTGCATTTATTGCTTTCTTATGATTCCTCCTCTTTCCTCTCTCCTTCTCAACGTTTATATTTACAGTTTTCACTCACATTTGGCTTTAGTTGGTGTTATGACCCATTTTCACAATGCAACCTCATTTACAAACATAATCATCTGCCACATGTATCACTTTATCTCTAGCATAACTTTTTCTCCTAAATTTTTTTTTGCCAGAAAATATTCCTGGGTGGTGCACAACAGTGTGGGTTCAGCTTCAGAACACTTTCAATTAACTTTAGGACTTCCTGTTTAGACTCCTAGCCCATGCCACCCAGAAAGAGAGTTTTATTCATTTGCAAGACTGAGCATTAGTAGACCTTCTCTGTACTGTGAGTGGGATATGCATTAGGGAACGGGCAGTATTGCTCAGTGGTAGAGCACTTGCATAGTATGTGTGAAGCCTTGTGTGCAACCTTCAACACTGGGCAAAGAAAAGGCAAAATTTAGGGTTCTTTTCTTTTGGGAAATTTGAAAAAAAAGTGTTATAAAGAATCCACTTGTCAAAACAGGCTTTTGAAAGACAAGTTTATTCCAGTGAGCAAGCACCAAAATCAGGAGACTTTAACAGCTGGCTGGGAAAAGCTGAGTTTATCACAGTGCTGTGTGGATGGGCTGATATTGGGAGAGGCATAGTAGCAGCTAGTGGGAGACATTTCATCCTGAGAGAATGGGCTAACACCAGGGGAGAGACAGCAACTAACTGAGAGAGGAGTTAGGCTTGTATGGTATGGAAAGGGCTAAAGGAATCTGGGCTGGAATATTTATGACTTGGATGCCCAGGGACGGTCTCTCAGGTGTGTAGACAATCACTGGACTCCTTGGTACCGGGGTGGGGGGTTGCACACTTTGTTTTGAGTCCATTTGCCCAATTTACTGAGAAGCAGCCTGTTTGCTTTGTCCTGTTGGTTTAGGCTAAGCCTGACAAAAAGAAGTGAGTCTTTAGACGTGTTGCTATTATTAAAGTATTTTATAACATCTTGTTTTATATAATATACGACTTAAAATTTCACAAATGTTATCAGATACCCCTTCCCTCGTTCTTAGCAATGAGATTTTTCCCTGTTTCTGCTCACATTCATTGGCAGAAAAAGAAACAGAATACAGAATATTAGTTACAATAAAACATTTTCAGACACTATGAAAAACATGTGACTTAAGTACAAATGTATATTTTTAGAATAAAATCACTTTATGTGAGTATACCAGAAAGTAGCAAAGTTCTGCATTTAATGTAATTCTGTGCATGAATTTTGGGCTGCTATTTTTTTGAAATAAGAAATATAAATGTAAAAACTGATATACGGATCTTTAGAAACCATATTAGCTTCCGCAGCTCTATGTAAAGCTTTCTACAAGAAGCGCAACACCAATTTAGGATGGTACCACACATAGATTTCAGCTATCTGGAGCCTATATAGATTATACCAGAAGCTATCTGCGTTTTTGTCAGCGTTTTTGAGAGGCAGAGATGAATGATCTGTAGGAAGAAAAGCTTGATAGAGATCTTTTCCCTGCTGCATAGAATTGTTCAGAGAAATACTCTCCTTCATTTGCTATTAAGCTTTGTCTGAGTTGAATCCCAAAACATATCGATTTGTTGTCAGTAAGCTGCATATGCTGGATGGATCTGCTTAGAATACTACTGTACTCTGCTCGTTACATTTTGCCTGCTTGGGGTAGATAGATCTGGAGAAGCTCAGATTTACTTCCGTGCCACCCTTGAGAAGTAATTCCTTCATCAGTTTAGAATTTGATTCATAAATAAAGGACAGATGAAACAACATAAATCTGGACTTGCACTGTTTTGTAATGATATACTCTGAAAATTCTTTTCTTTCTTGATTTCCACTACTGATACTTACCAGTTAGGGGGTGTTCATTGGTCTGTCTTAGGAGGTAACAGACTAGTCCTGTTTAATTGATCGGCTGCTAATTTGAATTCCTTTGCTCTGTATTCGATTATGTAAAGAGCCCGGGGTGGAAAGGTACACGGGGCTTCTCAGCAGCACTGTCACACCGTCTGCAGCCCACATATATTTCAAGTTTATCCAATGAATTGTTTACATAAATGAGCTAATGATTGTATCTTTATCCTATCAGGCTGCATTGCATCTGTATGCTTTTAGTGTGTTCTGTTGCCCAAAGGCAAAAGAATCAGTGGGCAAAACAAATGTGTTTTTGAGTTTTGAGTTCAGAAACAAATGCTTAAAGGGAAGCCATGCTCCTGCAAACAGAGCGTGCTGCACTGGAGAGAGGAGGAGTGGGAGAAATTCAGGGGCACCCTAGGTTAGCAGGAGAATCAGTGAGCTCTGTGCCTCTTCCTCGCCAGGGAAGAATTTCCCTGAGATCTGACAGGTGACTGACCACATGTGCAGAAGTGTGTCTATTCAGCCTGAAGACTGCATTTGTGTGAATAGTGAGCATTCTTTGCCTGCAGTTGTATGACCTGCCCTTATGTCACTTATTGTGAGTTTCTCTGGGGATCCGGCATCTTCAGTTAGAACTCGATTTCTAAACTTCTCCTCTGGAAAGCAGCATCTGATTCCTCTTGTTAACAGTGTGAAATTCTTCACATTGCACACTTTTTAGAAGTTCTTTTTTCTCATCTAAATTTCCCTATGACTGATTTTTATAGATGACATGGATTCTGACAGGTTATATGCTCATATAAAGTCCCTAACTATGTGCGCATGTTGGAGAGTCTTGGGCAGCAAAAGAAGCATTTAAAAATGATGGCATCATTAAGCCAGCTCTCTGTGTTACACACCATGGGGCATCTTTTATTCTATTGTTTACTACCCTTATAGATAACAGGCACTGGATTTTTGGTCAAATTGTTGTAAAATTTGAAGATTTTTCTTTACATTTCAAAAGCTTCTTTCAGAATCATTCCTCATGGACACAGGGGTCCCTACTGAGGAACCGTGTGTTGTTCTCGTCACTGGAAATTCAGAAATGAACAAAGTACATGTCAGGAAGCTGACAGGACAGAGCGGTTAAGGGACAGCACTGTCCATGAATAAGAGACCACGGTGGCTGGAAAGAGTAACAAAAAACCAACCGTGGGACCCTGGATGATTTTCCGTGGTGGGATCGTACCTATGACTGAGAAGGGCTTGTTTGTGGAGTTACTATCTGAGCTAAGAGGTGGCGGACACAGAGGTGCTGAGCATGCACGGATCCATGGAGAGCAGTCACTCCGGGGAAGGGGTGAGCACCAGAACCTGCAGCAGGAACAGGAGCTTTGTGGCCGAGGGAGGTAAAGAGGGCCAGAGTGAGTGGCCTGCAGAAAGCCAAGGGCACAGTGGCCAGAAGTCACGGACACAGGGTAGTTTTATAGGCCCTACTTGATTTTATTTCTGGAGGTTTTCCTGAGTTGAGGTGTGCTGGGATCCCATTGGCTTGTTTAACCATAGAGAGCCAAAACTAGATTTAGCGAGCTGACTCAATCTTCTCTATGAAGAATGGATACTAATTAGTAATATTAATTCAGAGAGCATCCTATGTGCAAGCGGAGAGGCCGATTTAAGCACAGAGTGACTGCTTTGGTTGTTAGTTTCGATCAACCAAGAGGATAACCATGGAAATTGGAGACACAGGCAGAAACAGCCAGAATCCCGTCCCCCAGCTGGCTGACAGGCTGTGCCCCAGGCTCTTCTGCTCTGAGCCCCTGAGGCCTGACAATGTCCAGGGGCAGGGGCTGGGTGTTGCCCCTCCCTACAGGCACTCTGATCCTCCCACTTCTGCTGTTAACTGGCTTTGGACTCATGGTCCTGGGCAGCTGTATTTGGTTTCCTGACATTTTCCAAGAAGAAAGCAATGAAAATATGGGTCTTATAAGATGAGCTTCTAGAGAAGGAAGCAAGATTTTCATAGCACATGCTTTAATGTACAAAAGAGTCCACATGCTACATATAATAAAGAACAAACATCACTGCAGACCCTTGTATGGTTATCTGATTGACCATTTTCCATTAGTATGGTAGCAGGATAGAGAGAAATCTTGAGATTCTAAACTATTTGGAGCTAGACTTGGATCTCCTCTCTCTCTCTCTCTCTCTCTCTCTCTCTCTCTGGCCTGGATAATAAGGATAAAAGATGGATAAAAAAGGAGGAATCAAGTATAACTCCTACTTTGGATATTAGAACCTGGTGAATGGTGGGAATATTAACTGAGAATGACAAGACAGGGTCGTTAGCCAGAAACTGATATCCCTTTGGTTATTATATATTTGAAAAATCAACTGAAAATTTATGGTGATGCCAACTTTAGTGAGTTATAAAGTTTAGGAGCAAAATTGAGGGTGGAGATATAAATATGACTTCAGAGGCTTCTAGTCTGGTTTCTGATAATATGGTTTACTTATTGCAACTTGAAATTTTTTCTTTAGTAGTGTCCATTATCTTCTTATTTAATAACCTCACATACCTGTGTGAAATAGCATGCAGTATAGAGAGAAAAGCTGCCTACTTGGCTTTTACTCACCCCGCAGCATGGCTGAGCTTGGCCCATTGCTCTGCAGCCTTATTTTCTGTTGCTCTCCCAGCACACAGATAGCCACTAGTACAACTAGGCCAGCTCTCCCCGGCTGTCCCATAAGTTTGCAAATTCCTTGCTCCAATTGTTTCTTCTTCTTCTTCTTGTTATTTTCCCAGCCTGGAAACTCTACAGCAGAAAGTTTAGGTGAACTTTGGAGGATGAGAGACGAGGACAGTCTCCTGGGCTACTTCTGCTATTGGCTGAGTGACCTAGGGATTCATTACACCTTTCAAGTGTCATCTGCAAAATGAAGATAATGATACTTATTCCAGAGGGAGGTGGCAAGAATTAAATAAGGGGATGCTGGCAAACCCTTGGCACACATAGCGGGCACTCAGTAGATGATAACTTTCATGGTGACTGTTGAGAATCCTTTACCTTTCTGATGCAGAGGAATCCATCATTCAAGGTCAAACACATGGAGCTCCTCGAAGACTTTCTGAGCTTGGCCAATGCTGAGATTGAAAGAAACAGCAACCCCCACAGAGCTCTGTTGAAAGGATGAGAAAACAAAAACAGCAAATATCCAAGGACAAGACAACAAAGAGCAGCGAGCACTCTGAGGCTTCCCAGGTCTCTCTGAGTCCTCTTTCCCGGGCCACAGTCTGCGAAATCTCTCCCTGCTTCCTTCTGTGTAGCTTTGCCAACTTTCTGCCTTCTCTGTACCTCCCCAGCTCTCTGTTCCTGAAGGCTTTCTCTGCCCCAGAACTTGAGCTGTCTCAATCTGATTTTGATGTTTATTTTACTCTCTGCAAACTGCTTATATTTACACACTAAATAACATTCATTGTTCATTCAGCACAGGCAAATGATTTGCTCAGGCCCTGGTCTACATTTTCTCTGCTTATTCATGGGATGAAAGCACCATAATTTTCTCTTACCTCAATTCTATCTCTATTTTTCTTTTCTGAATGCTTTCTCTTAGGGCTGTACATGGCTTATATATGCTCTCTACTCCAAATGTGTGCCTCTAGCCTGGTCTTTTTCCTTAAGCTATAGGCTCATCTATCCAGCTGTACACTCACATCCGTGGTTGAATTCCTGTCAGCTCAGTCATAACATATTCCAAGTATCACTCCCAATTTCACCTCTCTTTCCAAACCTGTTCAGCTCATGTTCTCTCTCATTTCAGTTGATAAACAATGAATTTTTCAGTTGGCTCAGGCTTAAACCTTTGGTGTTATTTTCCTCTCTTCCTTTGTCCCAGGCTTTCTTTGAAGTCAGCAAGTTCAGTTTGGCTTACCTTTCACAGGTGTCTGTGGTCCACCTGCCCCCATCACTGCAAGAAAACTAACATTTCTTACAGGGGCTGCCCTATAGATTATGCCCAAAGCAGGCTGTGGGCAGTGCAGGCTGTAAAGAGCTAACCCCACAACTAGCTTGTTTTGAAAAGTGAGTCTGGCCAAAGCCTATGTGCTGAGGTCAGAGTGACTCACACCAAAATTCCATTCTCAAAATTAAAACCTTCTTTACTAAAAAACCAAGGTTAATTATTAACCACAGCCTATATTTTGTCTATTCTATTCCTAGTTCAAGAATGCTTTGTCTCTTCCTTTACAAGCCTTGCCTGCATCAGAAATATATCCATAGCAACTCCTCATAGTCCCTCCATGTAGCCCCTTTACCTCAACTAACTATGATGTCACCAATAAATATCGGCAGCTCTGGGTGTTCAAAGCCTTTGCTTGTTCAAGCCTCTGACTACACAAGCACTGGACCTCCCAGCTCCCTGCATCTGTCTCTAAGTTTTTCTTCTTCCCATGTGTCTTAGCACAAGCAGGAAATTGGGATCTGCTGCAGGGGTCTCTGGTGATTTCTAATCTAGTTATTGCATTCAGCTTCTCATTGGCTTCCCTGCTTCACTTCTGGATCCCAAGATCATTTATGATCACTAGACTTTTGGAGCAATCTTTGTAACATATAACTCAGTCTGCTGATTCCTGGGCTCAAAACCCTCCATTGGCATTTCTTGGCATGCACATGGAAGTCATTTTCTTCCAACCATTTGTAAAATCCGTAAGACTGAAGTGTCTCCCCTTTACTCAGAAATTCACTGCTGTTCATCTTGTTTCATTCTTCATTTGCTTCACTGATTTTTTTGCCTGACTTTCCAAAAGCCAGACAAGAGCATGTCTCTGAGAATCTGCATCTCTTCCTTTTGCTTGCTGTTCCTTTCCTGGTGTAGTTGTCCCTTCTCTCCTCAATCTTCTTGAGCTTTTCACTTAGAGATGACCCTCTCTGTGTGGCTTTCCTTCAGCATGTCATCTAAAATTGTAACCTCTTCACCCTGTATTCTCTAACCCAGTTCCCTACTTTATTTTAAATCAGAACACTTATAGTGGTGATGTTCCACACATCTTGTTTATTACCACACTAGCTTATGGGTTCTCCTCTCTTTCAGAGAAATGTAAACTCAGCAAGGCCAATTCTTCTGATTGTTCCATTCATTGCTGTTTTCTCAGGATGTAGAAAAGTCCTGGTATTTGGTGGCACTTAATACTAAATAATATAGACTGAATTAATGAGTACAGCAATGAACAAACCAAGTGACAGTTTGTCCTGTTTTTGTTTGATTGCTATGTGGGACAATTGCAAAGAAGAAAAGGTTGTATATGTAGAATGTAGGAAGCATTTTATAATTTCTGAATTTTTATATTTCATATAATCTATATTTCATATAGTACCTGATACTCTTCCCACTTGGCCTTTGAACACACACAGCAGAGTCCAAAAGATGTAGACTTTAAAGCAGAGATTCTCTTCATCATTAATTGCTTTTTCTCATTTTCTCCAAATATTTCTTTTCAGGCCTTCTTCATTTCCTTTTCCTACCGCCTTCCTCTCTTCCCAACTGAGCCACTTCTTACTTGAAAAGCCAATCTATTTATGAGATCTCACTTCAGGAAAACACAATTTCCCCTAATAATCTGATTTCTGACAATAGTAGTTATAGGGTATTTCTTCTGTTCCCATCGTTGTTTCTCTTTCCTCTGAAATTATTTCCTTTTTCCCCTTTTTGGTTTATATCATTGATGTTACAAATTTTGCTCTGCTTTTTATTGTGATTTGTGTTTGTTTTAATTTTGTTTGTTGTCTGAGATGGAGTTATGCTATATTGCCCAGGCTGGTCTTGAATTTTGTTGCTTGAGTGATTCTCCTGCCTCAGCCTCCTGAGAGCTGGGGCTCCAGGTGTGCGAACTGGGTATTGGCTATTTCTTCATATTTCAGAGTAGGTGGAGGCTTTGATGCATCCATGGGAAATTCACTTCCAAGTGTGAGTGTCTGTCAGTTTTTTCTCTTGGTTTCTTCTTTTTCTTCATCAAAGTTCCCTGCTCCATTGCTGTATTCTGCAAACTCAGTGTGTTGAGGAGGCTGGAAAGCTCACCATTCAGTTTGTGGACATTTCTTATTCCTAATTTCCAGCATAGCCGCCAGCTGCTTTTGAGCTGGAAGCCTCAGGTCTGGAGGATAATTACTTCATGCACTCAGAGGGCAGTGGGTTGCAGCACCTCTAGGCCTTCTGCTCACCAGCCTCCCAGGTTCCCACCTCGCCAGCTTCAGGAAAAAAAAATGTGTGCATCACCAATTCCTGAGGCTTTTTCAGATGCTGTCACTCAAGCATGACTGATTAATTCTTAGAGTTCTCTTCCTGGACAGACACATACAGGAGCCATGTCCACATTCTTCCATACCATTTCCCTTCTTAGTGAAGCATAGCAGATTGTGTGGAGCTGTCCAGGTTCTGGAGGTGAACTGCCTTGCTCTAAGCCCTGCCTCTACCACCTGTTCTGTGATATGATCTTGGGTGACCTTCCATGGTCCTCTTCACTTGCCCACTATAGATAATCATATATTTGGATCATAGTAACCCAGAGGCCTATTTCAACAAGGAAGGGGCTTACAAAAGTACCCAGTGTATTTTAGATGCTAGGTCCATGCTAGGTCTATTATAAAACTTGAAGTTTTCTAAAATTTTCTATTGATCAGCTACAGTTGTCCCTTCTCCTACTTTTTTGGAATTAAGTATTCATCTCCATCACTATATTATTAATTCATTGATATTGGGGGAGTACATGGAGCTACATATATATATTTCATCTTATAATTAACTCTGGTCCAACAATAAAACCCTCAAATCTCCTTCTGCCCACATGTGTCAGTGGAGTAGCTGAACACTCGCTTTAGCAGTCTGTGTGGTAGTTGAGTGCCTTTAGGAGACGTCTTGTCTCTAGTCCCCTTTTTCAGAAACCACTGTCCTGTTACTGAGTTCAGCCAGGCTACCTGTGAGCAGGCACCTCCCATGGATCAGATTTCTCCACATTTCCTGTGCTTAGAGCAGGGTGCTGAACCTATAATGTGTGGGCCACAGTGGGCACACAGAGCCCTCTCTGCCAGTACAAGAGCCAAGTCAGTAGCCCCAGACCTTGAAAATGGGCAGCTGAAATAGTTTCCAAATCTAAAAATGCATTTAGAAAATTCTAGAACATTTTCAGACCATCCTACAAGGCATCAGAAAATCTACAAGGAATTTTCTAGCATAGCAGCAGCTACAATGGAGAATTTAATAACAGATTTTGGGAGTTCTGTAAGATGGAGTAAACCCTGTACTTCTCCAGATAAAGCCAAATTTGAAGAATGTGATCTCTCCTGCTTATACTGGTTAGATTTTGGAAATTGGAAATGGAGATATTGGATTTCAAGAAAGCTCTATCTGGAAAAATAAAATCTATGTCCTGCATGTAACATGAGAAGATAAGAGTGTGAAGAGAGGACAAAGGACAGCACAGTTCTGAAAACATGATCCATAAAGTGTGCAATTCTCTGCTAAATAATTTCAAGTCAATGAAAGCACTTGGGATTGCTTTTCTCACTTTGTTTGGATCACCTTATGCTTGTGAGCAGCTATTTCCAGCTTTGAATTAAGTATATTAAATCTGAAACAAGAAAAAGACTAAGAGGTAACCTGAATACTGCATGTGTTGCTCTTGAACTAACAAAGTGTGAGTCAAGGTTTGACAAATTATCAGCGTGCACACAATGGCAAAGATCATACCAACTGCGAAAGCATGCCAAATACAAACTTTTACCTTTCAATAAAAAGCTGTTTGGATCACTGAAAGCTCTGTTATTGTGTTTTTCTTTTAAGAGAAAAGATGTTAATGTGGGAGTTGTTTTTTCTAAACTAAAACCTCAGTATTCAGGTTTAATTGACATGATATTACTTTGCGATAAATAAGTGGGTTTTGGGTTGCAGTTTGGGCACTTGTCTCTAAAAGGTTTGCCATCACTGGTCTAGACTCTTGTTCACCAAGTTGGCCTAAGGAGACATTTTTATTTCTCTGTGTTGGAATTTTCAAAGCCTGTGATTTGTCTCTGGTCTCTATGTTCTTGTTGTCTGGGGCCAAATTCCTTTTTATGCACCTTTTAATATTCCTCATTTCTGTTAACTGGATCATGAATAAGGGAAAACGACTCCTATTTTTGTCTTTCCCTTTCTATTTCTCCCCAAACTTTCACTCCTACTTTGATTTTTGTCTGCTTTTCTTATTCTTTTCCTTCTATAAAACTAGAAACTGCACCTTTAAGAATAACTTTTTATACTGTGACCTGATAGCAGCAAGACATCACATGCCTTTATATTTTATCCACTGGAAATGATTTTGAGTGGCAATAACACATGAAACAATCAGAATGCATTGTTATTTAGGGAGAAATGATTGTCTTTCACATGGGGCATTTTTATGTTTTATACATTAACAAAACATTCCAATTTTACTCTCTTTGCACATTAGGTTTCATATTCTAAAATGAGAAACCATAATATGGTTTTATTCATAGTTTACTAGAGTGGAAATGACTTTGTGAAAACCTCATCTTCATAATCATTCTCCCTCAGCACTATTGCCATTACTATCGAATTAAGAAATACAAATATTTACTTAGAAATCTTTGTGAATGTAAGAGGTTTAGGAGAGAATGATATTTACTCTTTCCTCCAGTGGGCTTTTGGGAGAAGTGGATGAAAATGATACTGAGATTAGAGCATTCACCTAAATATGAGGGACTACAAGCTACAGAGCGCTAGAGAGGCACAGAAAGGTGAGCACAGTGCTCTGATCTAAGAAACTAGTTCCGAGGACCATAAACAAGGGAGGGGAGGCTGGTTGCTGATTAGGACGGTCAGGTCCTAATCAGGATGCGCTGCATTTTGTTTGGTTGCTGTTGGTTACATGTGTGTAGACCACGTGCCAAGTGGTACTCACTGCATGGAGAGCAGCCGCATCCTCTATAACGCAGGAATAACTCGGAAATCAACTTCTGGGAGTGTGTTATAACAGAAGCCAGGGAAGGAAGGAGTGAGA